GTTTTCTACCTGAGGACTTGGAAGTTGATCATCAATCCTCGTATCTGACCCTCACTCTTTTCCTCCTCTGAGACCAAGAAGGTAAAAGAGCACCTAAGGCCACTGGCATTCTGGGGGGAAATTGTAGAGGCTGTAAAGACAGGTAGCAGTGGTCAAGGGGGCTTGGCTTGTCAGTGCCTGGGCATGTGCTCCAACAATGCAGGGAATTGGGGGGCTGGGGAAAGGAGGTGCAACAAGATGGGGGTCAGGTGTGAGGCAGCGTGTGTTCATTCAATCATTCATCAGCGCCAGGCACTGTGCTAAGATGCGGCGATGTAGAAGATTCCATGCTGCCTTAGGGACTCTCTGGGACAGAGGAAAGTTACAACAGAAGGGAAGGCAGGGTGATGAGACCGTGAGCATAGGGTGCTCTGGGTTCATGGGAGGGATATTGAGGGCTGGCTTCTTAAGGGAAGTGATGTCTAAGCTGAGACCCAAAGAATGAGTAGGAATAACACAAAAGAGACATGGAAAAGACTTTCAGGCAGAGGGAACAGTATCTGCGAAGGGCTGGAGGAGCTGAGGGTGTGGCTGAATTGGAGGACAGGGAAAAGCTAGAGCATGAATTCACATCAGTGAGGACTTTTATAGTAAGGGCTTTTCTGTGGAAAAGTTTTAAGCAGAGAAGTGAATGATGTGGCTTGTGTAAGAAAGATGATTACATAGCTGATTCTGGCTAAAGTGTGGAAATGAAAAAGGAACGAGGCAGGGAAACAAGTTGGTAGCATTTGTAGTAACTCAGGAGAATTGATGTTAGCCAACTATGACAGTGTCAATCAATTTAAAAATAGAATCAGAAGGGCGGGTGATGGAAGGCGACTTAGAGATCATCCGGCGTTCGAGACCCAAAGCCTCAGTGGAGTAAATGACATGCCCAAGGTCATATGACTGGGAAAATCAAAGCTAGCACTAAAACCCAGGCCTCGTATTTCCAAATCTAGTTTTTTTCCTACTGTATTCACATGGCCGGGTATTAGCTCAATTCCCCGTATGTGCAAAACACATTCTGCTAAATGCTGGAGGGGGTGGGCATGCCAAAAAATTTAACCTCTTCTCTACAGTCTAAAAGCTTTCATGATGTTATTGTTCCCAGCTCTGCGTGCGCTTGGATTAGACATTAAAGTGATGTAACGGAGAAAGTGGAGGGACGGGGTGGAGACCTGTCACCAGCAGGAATGTGACTGGGTGGACCCCCATGGGGAGCTGAAGTGGTTTAGGATTTGGACCTCCTTATCATTAATGAATTACTAAATCAGCATGGGGTCCATCAGGCCTCATTTTTGCTAGAATGAAGCAAATAGACCTGGATGAGGGCATTTTATGCTGTTCTTGACTGAAGCTCCCATACCTCTGTTATCTCCTGGTTTGGAAGCTGAAACTCCTTGCTGCCTGCTGTCTCCGCCCTTACACAATGCTCTGGGGCCCATGGGCCTGCGTGGTCACAGATGGCCACCAACCAGTTCCACAAACTGTGGATACGGCCACAGATGGTCATCAGCAAGCTCCACAAACTGTCAATATCCATGGAGATGTTAGAGGGAAGCGGCTATGCGTCCGCTCTTAGGCGTGCCAGTTTGGATGGTCAAATAGGGAAACAACAGAGCAGAAATGAGGTAAAGAATATGGGCCTGGGCCAGAGAGAGCGTGAGAAACAACCATGAGTCAGAAGAACGGCCATAACTCTGAGCTGGAGAAGCATTTCACGGCTGAAACCATGTTACAATGACCTAAAAATAGCCACCAAGACCGTGGGGACTGCCGTACATGTGGCACTGGCTTTTTGTTATTTTTTCAGATTGCAGAATTGGAGGGCTGGCCCCTAAGTGGGAAAATAAAGCTTTGCAGAGTAGTAGTAGCTGCAAATCTTTCATTTCCTTTGGAAAACATTAGTCACCTATAAATATGTAGCTCGCTTACTCCTCCCTTCTCTCTCACCCCAAAACCCCTCACCTAGCTCTCTCTGAGGCAGTGGTGAGGAGCAAGAAAATAGAAATGTTCCTACTGCTGGCTTTTATTCATTCTTTTATTGAACAAATATTTCCCCTAACCCAGGGCTGGGCCCGCTTGGAAAAGCAAAGTGATATAAGGCCAAGCCCCAGCCTGCAGGGGGTTTGTTCTTAATAAGTGGAGATGAGCCATGCATATGAATTATACAAGATGAGAAGCGATAAAATGTCATAAAAAATATGAGGAGCTACAGGGACTCAGGGGAAGAAGTGATTACATCTGACTGGGCGGTGTAGGAAGATCTTCATGAAAGGTATGCGTTGGATGTGCGCTCTGAAGGAATGGATGGATTAAGCAGCAAAAAATGTGAGAAAATGAACAACACAGCACAGTGCCGAGGCCAAGGGAGCCCCGAACACGTTAGAGCGATGGCCAGCAGGTTGCGTTAGCTGGACCTGTTAGTGAAAGAGACTAACAGGAAGTCACCCTGAACTACCCTCTCACGGTGGCTTGTGGGTGGCAGGCTGAAAGAGGTTAGACAGAGTACAGACAAAGTCAGATTCCATTGTTTCTGTGGTTTGTTTTTATGACGATTCCTTTCTTCTATAATATGCTCAGGTGAGGTCCCACAGCAAAATTGCCTGGGCCTGCAGGTGTAACAATCCTCTAAATTCATGCAACCATTTACACACACACTTACGCACATAGACATCTTACCCCAGAATACATTAAAAACAGTCCAGAGGGCTGGACTAAGCTGAGTTCCAGGATCAGTCACCTTGCCACACCTAGCATCAACAGTCCCCTCCTTCTCCCACTAGTGCATTGTGATGAATTCCCTCCCAGAGTCTTTGTCACCCTTTCCTGAAGACCATGCACCATAGTTTTCTAATCTTAGTGGGGATCAGAATCCCAGCCCAATTTTCCATAGAAGGACTCTTTAGCCCTCATGTAAATTAATATATGAAAATAAATATAAAGATGTCACCCAACTCCCCCTTATTATCAACATTTGGGATCTAGTTCAGCCAGGATGCAAACTGAAGAGGGGTAGAGGTGGAGGGCTAGGAGAAGAAATGTTACCTATGCTTCCCATCCTTCCTCTCCGACCTCAGCTCCTAGTTAACCAATACGCCTGTTACAGAAATTAGAAACAAAAAGAGCCTGAAGAAGGGTGCATCTGGACAGTCAGGAATGAGGGGCACGCCTGAGACGTATTGTTGAAGTAACAGAACAGGTTTTTTGGATTAATTGGGACATAGGGGAAAAATGAAAAGGAAAAAATCAAGGATAATTCTAAGAATTTTCAGCTGGTAGACTGGGAAGCTGGTGATTCCATTAATAGATGTAGAGAACTTAGGAAAGAAATAGTTTTGGGTATAAGTAAAAAAGTCAGTTTAAAACCCCGTATCTGGGTCCCATTTCAAAAGATTCCACTTTAACTGGTTTAGGATATGCCCTGGGTATTGGAACTTTTAAAGACCCCCAAGACAATTCTAATCTTCAGCTAAGGTTGAGAACCACTTGCTTAGAGGAACTTCCATTTGGAAATCAGACCTGGCCTTCTCAAGAGAGGAGGGGCTGTGGAGATCCGATCCGGGAGCGAACCTTCCTGGTGGGATGGGATTGCTGGAGAGAGAGAAGAGAGAGGGGAATGGGGAGAAGTAGAGAGGGAATGCTGGGGAAATGCCCTCATTTAAGGGATGGGTAGACTGGGAAGGTGGTAATTCCATTAATAGACATCACTTCCCTTAAGAAGCCAGCCCTCAATATCCCTCCCATGAACCCAGAGCACCCTATGCTCACGGTCTCATCACCCTGCCTTCCCTTCTGTTGTAACTTTCCTCTGTCCCAGACAGTCCCTAAGGCAGCATGGAATCTTCTACATCGCCGCATCTTAGCACAGTGCCTGGCGCTGATGAATGATTGAATGAACACACGCTGCCTCACACCTGACCCCCATCTTGTTGCACCTCCTTTCCCCAGCCCCCCAATTCCCTGCATTGTTGGAGCACATGCCCAGGCACTGACAAGCCAAGCCCCCTTGACCACTGCTACCTGTCTTTACAGCCTCTACAATTTCCCCCCAGAATGCCAGTGGCCTTAGGTGCTCTTTTACCTTCTTGGTCTCAGAGGAGGAAAAGAGTGAGGGTCAGATACGAGGATTGATGATCAACTTCCAAGTCCTCAGGTAGAAAACATTAGTATGTCACGAGTGCTATCTTACATATGAACTCTAAAAGTTACACTTGGCAAGAAAGAGTAAATCAGATTAGAGGCCACAAAAACAGAGTATGGATATTCATGTGCATAATCAGCCAGATACTACCCTGCCTCTCCTCAACACATACAACAGAAAGAAATATCTTTATGGGAGCCGGCCCCGTGGCTTAGCGCTTAGGTGCGCACGCTCCTCTACTGGCGGCTGGGGTTCGGATCCCGGGCGCGCACCGACGCACTTCTTGTCTGGCCATGCTGAGGCAGCGTCCCACATGCAGCAACTAGAAGGATGTGCAACTATGACATACAACTATCTACTGGGGCTTTGGGGAGAAAAAGGGAAAAGAAAGGAGGAGGATTGGCAATAGATGTTAGCTCAGGGCTGGTCTTTCTCACACAAAAAAAAAAGAAAGAAATATCTTTATGGATATGTACTGCTACCCACCCTGGGTCCCAGATATTCTATCTTTAGGGATTTATTCCTTTGGGTTGAGCCAGATATGGCAAATACATGGCACATATCCTACCACTCCCCATTCTTATGCTATTGGCAGATATTGCTATATTATAACACAACTCTTTTTTGGTAGGGCCTCAGAATCCTTCTCAACACAGTGCTCCAGACATCTACTACCAGTAGGTCGCCAACTGAAGTCTTATTCTCTAAAACTGTTCTTTGTTAAACTGCAATAATATTGTGGTAACATACGCAAAACATAAAATTTACCGTTTTAACCATTTTTTTTAAGTATACAGTTCAGTGGCACTAAGTACAGTCACATTATTAGCCATCACCACTATTCATCTCCAGAACTTTTTTCTCCTCAAAGTGTAATTGTGTCCCCATTAGACAGTAACTCCTCATTCTCCCCTCCCCCAGCCCCTGGCAACCACCATTCTATTTTGTGTCTCTGTGAATTTGATGACTCTAGGTACCTCATATAAGTAGAATCATATAATATTTGTCCTTTTGTGACTTCCTTATGTTTAATTTTTTGAGGAAGCACTATACTGTTTTCCATAGCAGTTATAGCATTTTATATTCCCACCAACAGTGCACAAGTGTCCCAATTTCTCCACGTCCTCACAACACTTGATATTTTATGGTTTTTTTTTGATAGTAGCCATCCTAATGGGTGTGAAGTAGCATCTCCTTGTAGTTTTGATTTTCTTTTCCCTAATAATTAGTAACATTGAGTATCTTTTCATGTGTTTGTTGGTAATTTGTTTATCTTCTTTGGAGAAATGTCTATTCAAGTCCTTTGTCCCTTTGTAATTGAGTTATTTTTTGTTGTGAAGTTCTAGTAGTTCTTTATATATTCTGGGTAATAATCCCTTATCGGATATTTGATTTGCAAATATTTTTCTCATTCTATAAGTTGCCTTTTCACTCTGTTGATTGTGTCCTTTGATGCACAGCGATGGCCCCTTAAGTTTTAGGCCGTAGGCACCTCCCTTTCCTCACCCTAGTCCTGGCTGTGATATTAGCCCTTGTCTCTTCCACGAAGCATTTGACAAACTTGAAATAAAATATTTGAAATAACCAAGATCACACTTGGGTTTCTGAAAGTTTAATTAAGCACAGAATTTTGTTCTTCCGTCTGAACTCCGTTGTCAACCTGCGGTATCCACATTTGAATGTTGTTTCTGAAGTACAACCTGGCCTATCCTAATTGTTACAACAGATGAGCAACCTCAGAGAAAGGTTGCTAAGAAGACTCCCACTGTACCATCCCTCAGAGGAGAGAAGTTTTAAACTCTTATTAAATGATTACAACGTGCCAGGCACTGTTCTATGTAATGTACAAGTGTTAACTCCCTTAATCTTTACAATAGCCTTATAAGGTGTATACTGTTTGCACCCCCACTTTGTACATGAGGGCAGGGGGCAGAAAAGTTGAATAAATTGTTGAAGGCAACATAGCTAATAGGTGGCAGAACTGGGATTTGAATCACAGAAGCCTGGTTCCACATTCTGCACTCTTAACCAATTATAAACTGTAGCTGATATCTCGTCTTCCCCATATTTAATTTTAAAAGTTATTTCAGACTTTGGCATCTTCCAGTGCAGTTGGTTTCCAGCAAACTGCATTTTTAGGCTTTACTTAGACATAGTGGCTCCTCTCTTAGCATTTCTTTTCCTTCTCTTGGCTTACAGAAATGACATATTCTATCTACACATGAGCAAGATCTGAGCCTCCTGTAAATCCATCCATTCCACTCTCTCCATGGCTATATCCATGAGCTAAAATCAGGGCCCACAATTAAACCAGGCACATTGTATTACAGCAATAATGTTTGATCTCTGCCCCTCCCACCCCAATTAATGGAGTGCTAATGGAAACCTATACCTGACACTTAGCTCTGTAAAGCTAACCTCACTTGTCTGGCTGAGAGCTAGCAAATGGACACCATCTTAGCAGGTTCAGCGTCTCAGCAGGTCATATCTCTCAGGGAAAGGAATAATTCATGTTCTCACACACTTTCTTTGGCTAATGATGTGTTTGATGTTCTCCCATATTCTTTCATTAACATTGGATTTTAATGGATTAGGTAAAACAGCCAAGCCCAACCCATGAAACAGGATGTCTCTTTGAATCAAGTCTATTTATCTAGAGAAGACTCACTCCGGTAGGTTTGTGGAACGCCTCAGCTGTTGACAAATGTCCCCCATGGCTTCTTTTCATCTGCCTGGGCTTCAGAACCCCATTGATCTTGAGCTGAAAATTGTTTTTTTTTTTTTTTTCCCTTTCTGTCCTAGTCATTGTGACTTGTCATTTTCTGCAGGGTCCTATGGATCTACTCTGAGACGGGTATGTGGGTGTATCCTGTGTTTGCCAAACTCAGCTCAGTGGGTCTAGCAGCCTTCTTCTCTCTCAGCTACATCCTTAGCGCTGGCATCTACCTACTAGGAGAGAAGCTCAACCACTGGAAATGGGGTCAGTTTATTTCTCTTTTATTTACAGAGACACTTCTTCCTTACCCTCTCTCCATTCCTCCTGGAAACAGAAGGAGAAACTAGTCCAAAGGGGAAGGCAGTGATGCTCGATGCCTTTGTCCAAAAGACTCAGACGGGTCCTACCAAAGTGGGCAAAGGAAAAGCCTGGGGGAAGTTTGCACTGTCTTGAAGGGCCCCGTCAGATTATCTCTCCTCCTTCCTAAAAGAACATCTCATCTAACAATAAGGCTAAAAATAATCTTTAGAAAGCTCAAGACGCAGGAAGCAAATTGTCACCATCCCCAACATGAAAAAATGGACTCAGGGTCTCCCTCCCTTAAGTGAGGGCTTGAGGGACACAAGCTATTAAAATGTTAAGGTTTCCTTTTTGAACGATGTGGGTCCCGATGACCTTCTTAGCTCTTCCAAGCTCAGCAGTGCCTTTCGGTTGAGTTCCCATTTCTCTCCTGTTAGGTTTCTTCTCAACCTTAGTAAAACATTTACCGGATAAAATCACATCCTGTACTTGAGGCTGGAATTCTCATTTAAACAAGGTCTTGGGCAATGTGAATTATGTCAATAAGCTAAGTTTTCTAATTATAGGTGGATAGAACCATGTTACTTCATAAGAAAAAAATAATATTAACTTAGTGATTTTAATATGGAAGATTTTATTCTTCTCCCTGCTTCCCCCACCCCAGAATATTATGTTGTTGGAAAATTAACCACCAAAAAGTCAAGTTGCAAAATACCCATGATTTTTTTCCCTCCCCAAGGAGAAGCACTGGAACTCTACCCTGGTTTTGTGTATAAGGAAGGCAAGAGTCACATACAGTCCCCCACATCACACGCCCACGTGCCATTCTGTTCTATCAAAATAGAAATGGCAGAAGTGGCATCTTCCACCCAATTTATGAACTGGTGTGAAAACATAAGCCCGTGTATGCAAAAAAACCTGACAGTTTCAGAAGGTTCACTACAAGAGTGTATATTTCTGAGAGGAGACTGAGACCCAGGAAAAATAAGCATGCAAGTTGGCTTTTTCACATGTTTTCTACTCTTGGAGAATTTAATGGATTAAGAAAGTCCCAAAGACAATATCCTCCTTGAAAGCAAACACTTAAAAAATGGAATACTAAAAATTACTCCCCAAATCAGGATTCCAAATCACAGGAAATTATCCAGAAAAAAAAAAAATGTGTTGACATTTCAGATGTGTTGACATCTAATTCTAACTAGTTTTGGCTCCTTGAAGTTCTGGGTAAAGATTTTTGATGCCGTCCCCAAATCTATATAAAAAAAAAAAAAGAAAAGAAGGAAGGAAGAAGCTAATCCATTTGAAATTTCGCAGATATAAGACATGCAGAGAAGAACTTGATTACTCAGATCTTAGAGAACAATAACTTTTTAAATCAATTGTATTGAGTTCAGTAATGATTAACTTTTAAATTGTTACTCTACAGTGACTTTTAAACATCCATTGGACTGAAAAACAAATTTTCCACTATATTTAATATTATTGAGATCACTGTTTTCAACACAAAGCTCTTTTTAATAAGCTTCATTGTTTGAGTACTATATCCAGTGTTTCACTACAGTTAGGTCCCAATCAGCAAACAGGCCGGCACCAACATGTAGACCCTCATTACATCATGCATATATGCATGTCCATGTGACTGACAGAGACTACTGTAAGTGGCCATGTGTCTCTCTCCTCTCTCTAGGTTTTTAGCTCCTTAAGAATAGAATGGGTAAAAAGTCCTATATAGCATCAGAATAGTCTCATAAATGTGTTAAATTCTGAACAGGTCATAATTATAAATGGTTGAATGAGAATTAAAAGAGAAATTAGGTCACTTAAAATTCCAGTGGCAGTGAACACTTTTAAATTGTGTAAAACTAAGCAGCGCTGTCTATGTGAACACATTTCCCTGTGTCTTCTTCTGCTTAAAACACGTCAAGTCTCTCCACAATTTACAGATGAAAATCCAAGGCCTTGGAATGACACACAGGGTCTCTACGACCCAGTTCCTACCTGGGTTCTTGCTCACCCTCTTCTAAATATATACCCCAGCAGCACCAAACTGCTTATTTTCCCTACATGTTGATGTTTCTTACCACCATAGGCTTCTGTCTCACATCTCCCTGTCTTTGGCTGTCTCACACCCACTCATTTATTTCAACTCACCTTTTCCAGGAAGCCTTCCCTGGACCCAGAGATTTGTTTTTACACTAGACCCTGACTTTCTTAAGGGTTAGGTGTATGTCTTAACCACCCTTGAATCCCCCATTTCCATTAGCTTACCCAATGGATCAATCAATGCAGGCAGGATATCCAAGGGCTCTTCTCTCTAGGTATTAAATGGAACTTTGTGCAAAGGTGTTCTGGAGACAGTGGTCAAGGAATGACTCTGACGGTTGGAAACTAAAGTATTGGACAGGGAGTCTGAGGAGCATAGGAGGGTGATGGTATGGTACACTGATCGGAGAGCTGTTGAAAAAGAGATGTGTGTTAGGGCTGGCAGTACAAAACAGTGGGAAAAAGTTGGAATGGGAATGAAGAAAACTAGGGTATGTCCCTCACCTGGCCACAAATCAACCATGTAACCTGTGTCAATACACTTCAACTCCTTAGTGATAGGATGACCTTTAAGTAGGGAGACCACACATCTCAGTTTGCCAAGAACAGTCCTGGTTAATGCCTGCTGTGCCAGGTGTATATAGTTTAGCATTGTCTAGGATTGGACAATCCATTGTGTAATTCCTCTATCTCTGAGTTCCTCTCCAAACCTTCTGTTCTGGATCTATGGAAACGTGTAAGTAGCTACCTACTTTGTCCAAATCCAGGGCTAATCCTACTTTCTCACCTCCTTCCACAGCCTGAGCTTCCTTGGATGAGAGCAGAAATTCAAAGGAGTGCTTTGGTAATGCAGTGGGAGGCAGTGGTTAGAAAAGTTCTGTGCCAGAGTGCCTGGTTCCTACCTTGCTCTTACCAATGATAGACCTGTGACACTGGGCAAGGCACTCAACGTCTTGTGTTCCAGTGTTCTCTCATGCATATCATGGAGACAATATTAGTACCCTTCTCCTGGGATCCTAGAGGACTGTAAAGGACTTGGGAAGTGTCAAGTGCCAAGAATAGGGCCTGGCACATAGGGTTAGTCACTATTGCTGTTAATCTCATTCTCCCCCAGCAAAAATCAGTAACCTTTTTGCCTATGTGGATATTCTAATCCTCTTCTACAATTTTATGCATAAATTACCAGTTTCCCCAGCTGAAGGTGATTAAAAGTAACAATAGCCCAACTGAATGCAAGTTGACAGATACGGTGCAGTTCCTGACGAACTTAACAGAGTGAAATAGGAGGTCAGGCTACTTGAGGCTAGAATTAATTAGAATGTCTGTGTCTGAAATCTTGAGACACAGTGTGGCCTAGCTGAGAGTCACCAGCCAAGTACGGAGTGGTCAAGAAATACCAGTCAAGACCCATCTAACGTGCAGGTATCTCTCGATCAGTGGTTCTCGACCTTAACTGCATGTTATAAGATCACTAGGGGAGTTTTAAAGCACTAATTCGCGGGCCCACCCCAGACCAATTAAATCCATCTCTGGAGATGGGGACTCGGCATAGGTATTTTTAAAAGCTTCCCAGTTATTTTAATTTGCAACCAGGGTCAAGAGCCACTGCTACAGAGCAACACTTCTCAAACTTGTATGTGCCTGCAAATCTTGTTAAAATGAGGAGCTTGTTAAAGTGTAGATTCTCGTTCAGTAGATGTGAAATAAAGCTTGGGATTCTGCCCTTCTACCATGTGCCCCAGTGAGACTGATGATGCTGGTCCTATATGCCACAGGACTCTGGGCTCCTCCCAGTTTAGATGATTATGTCTACAAGCATCCTTGTCCAATGTGGTGTTCGCTCAAGTCAGCTGCTGGGCTAAGAAAGATGTCGGTAGTGACAGCCACAGTCGCTGAATGCCTACCCACTTTCTGTCTCCTCACGTGTCATTTCAGTGGGTGAAAATGAAGAGAATCTTGAGAAGGGCCGTAATAAGGAGTGATATGAGGAATCAAATGTAAACTTGGAAAGTGTGTGACATTTTCCAGGGGTAAATAGATGCAGGGAGCTGGCCCTGTGTACTAGGGAGACAAGTGCCATCATGCTCTCAGGAAGGTCCTGCTGGCCTCCTAGAAGATGCTGTGGCTCAAAAAGCTCTCAAGAGGTTCCAGAGGCCACCTACCTGACTTGTCACCATCTCACTCTCTGTCCTGTGCTAGTTTTTATGTGTCATGGGATATATTGCTGGATAAGCACTGAGTCCTTACTGGCACCAGATACCCACCAAGAAAGATTCAGTTTCCATTTTGGGGGCAGAGTTAGGTGGAACATTGATTTCAAACAATCATGGAAGCAGAAAGGGGAGGCAGTCTCTGGCAGATCATTGCAAGCTTGGCTTACCATGTCTGAGCATCAAGGGATACCCCAGACAGATTCTTTCCACCCTGACTGGGAGAATGGGGCTCTCAGGGGGTCTCAATGTAGGCTCCTTTCTCTTCCACTTATGTACTTAATTTTTTTTTTTGGATAAGACACAAGGATGCTGACACCAGGACACAAGTCCATCAGGAAGAGAAACCCAACCCACAAGATATATCAGGCACAGAAAAAGGCTAAGTGCCTGCAGACCAAAATGGAGGGCCTCTTATACGTAGATGTGGCCAGAGAGGTAGTCAGCTTACTTGTGGCCTATGACTTCTATCCTTAGGTTCCTGAGGGATGTGTGTCAGGTGTCAGACTAACTTTTGTCAGGGCCTGAGACTATAGATCCTTTTCTTCCTAAGGATAGTGTGTAAGCTGAAAATTCCAGTCTGGCCAAGTGACCTTGTGATTGTGCCTTAGACAGAATGACATTAAAACCTTCCTTTAATACTATTTGCTGTAGACCAGATTTTCTTTAAAGGAGATTTTATTGTTGAAAGCTGCTTACAGGCCATCTAGTCTCCCTCCTTGGTTTTATCCATGAAGAAATTTATTATAATTTATAACAGATAAATCATATTTAACGTAGTATATAATGTATATAAGGTCTGTCTATCTTGCATGTTTTCCCTGATCATTTCATCACAAAAGAACCTTATCCTGAGTTGACTCCATGTGTATTTCTAAGGCATGGTCCCACTGGGGCAGCATTTAGTGAATAATAAAAATATATCTCCTTTTTGCCTTTCTTGTCCTAACTTCATCTCCCTAAGTTTAAAGAGAGTCTTCTCTGGACTATTACTTCTCCCTCTTCCTCAGCCTCTTTCCCCACGAGAGCTTCTCCAGCCAGCCCTCAGCTCCACCTCCTTCCTGTTACTTCTGCACTGCGACTTGTACTCATCAATGCTCAAATCTCGTTCCTCTAACACCTCATATCCCCCCAACCATCTGCCTTCTCACCCTTTTCCAAGCCAACCTGCTAAAACTAGGCAAATGTTCTTCAAATTTTCCGTTTAAAGTCTAGCAATAGCTTTTGTGGTTGTAGATACATAGGTGTAAATCTTTTTGAAAAGGATGTTTTCCCTTATCCTGTTTTCTGACTCCTGGAACAACAAGGTATATAATTACATATGGTATCCATAGTGATGTTGATTAAAAGAATGATTCCTTTTCCATGCCAGCAGAAAATGTTTGGATCTTGCACAAGACGAACATTAAATGTTTAGCCTAAAATATCTCTACTCTTTGGTACTACCTAACAGAGGATAAAGAAAGGACTAAAATAAGTCAGGGGAGAATTATTCCCTAACTGCCAACTAGGAGGTGTTCTACTGGGAAACACTCCCTTCAATGAAGTAAAGAGTAATGACACACAACCTTATTTCCCAATCAGAGTTTAAAATTTATTTTGCAAGCTTTGTTTGGGTCAGATAATATGATCTACTGCTAAAGTCAGAAGTTCCCTATCTCCAGCCATGCACTATGGAAACATGGTCAGAGATAAACTCTGAAGACTCAAAGAAGCCTAGAGACTGTTTAGCCCCATAAGAATTTAGGACTAAGGACGCACCCTCACCTGCTAGAAACAAAAAGAAAAATATGATTTCTGTGATATTCACACCGTGTAAGTCTCTACAGAATGAAATGACTGTTGGAGCTCCACACAGAGACACATTTAGGGACAGTGCCTTCTCTGGCACGGAATTTCTTAATACTCCATCTAGCTACTTAGTGTTGGATGTGGGGGACTCTGATCCAGTGGAATGAGCCACCTGCTCTCTTCCCCTAAAAGAACTTCCCACCACCACTTCCGCTCCTGCTTCTGCTGCTTCTCTCCAAGCCTTCATGTTGGGTTGTGTTTCTTAAATGGAGAAGAAGTCTTCAGTCATTGCCACCTGGGGTTGAAGGAGTGAGGTTATGACTACAGTTAGACTTGACGTGCTGGGGGGTTGATAAACAGCAGGAACAAAGAAAGTTCTAGGAGCCCTCAGAGTGACTACAGGGGAAACAAATTTGAGAAGTTTGTACTAATCAAGCTCTTGGACATGAGGGAATTAATGTGTTATTTAGCTGAAAAATGATTCAGTAGAGGCCCAAAGCGTATACTTCTGAAAAGAGAAGGTACTGTGTTTGTACTTATAGACTTAATGTAGAAAAGACCTAACTAGGGAGGAAAGAATTCATGTCAAAAATGAAAAATAAGTAGAAGCATAACTGAAAAGAACGTGAAGCCTGTAAAGATGGATAAATTGTGAGGCTTCACTGGAGTGACTGGGGGTAGTCTGGATTGATGAGGAGTAGAAGAAGCAGTGAGGGGCCTGTCCTTAAAAATGTTGAGAGAGCCAGCCCTGATGGCCTAGTGGTTAAAGTTCAGCACTCTCACCACTTCAGGGGCCCGGGTTCGTTTCCTGGTCGCGCACCACACCACCCGTCTCTCAGTAGCCACGCTGTGGCAGCAGCGGATGTAGAAGAACTAGAAGGACTTACACCTATGATATATAACCATGCATTGGGGCTTTGAGGAGGAAAAAAAATGTTGCGAGACATGAATACAAGGATGGCCATGGCGGCTATGTGATTAGGAGCTGGCTGCCCTAGAAAATCAGTGTGATGAGGGGGCCGCAAGCAGGACTTCAAGTCATCGGTCACTGAAGCCTCTAAGAAAGGGAGTTCTAGCAAAATAAAATTAATAGAAGATATTTAATATTTACCGTTATGGATATAACTGATGGAGAGGGCAGGGTTTGAAGGGTGAAGCATGGAATTAGGAGCATGAGATTGCTGTGGTAATACTGAATCAGAACTAACAGAGCTCTAACTTCCAGAATGGACAAGAAGAGGCTGAGTTGAAAAAAGTTTTCAAAATAGGATTGGTAGCATTTGGCAACAGACAAGAAGGATAATGAGTTAATGAAGTTTTAGAAAGTTCAAAGCTTATGCAAGGATTTATGATCATTAAATATAGAGGTACCAACTTGTTGGCTGAATGGAAGTCAGTCTAGAAATTGAATGCTACAATTTCAGTAGAATAAAGCCCCTCTAATGAGCTTACTAAAAAGTAATCAATACACTAGTACTTTTCCACCCAGGATGATAAGTTGATTTGGTGAGAGGTGACGGAATGACCCTCAATTTGGTGAATATCCACTCCTCTATTTCCTCTCTAATTTGATGTGGTCTCTTCATTTCCATCTGCAGAGTCTCAAAGTATGTCAGTAGATTGTGTGCAGCCTGCAAACACATGACCAAAAGCAACAGCAATCAGTGGCTCATCTTAGATATGCAGAGTCACATGAAAGCAAACAGCACCATTGACCAACCGGCTACCTGTGAGCCGAGCACCAAGGGGAGACAGCAGAGTTGCTCCTTGCCGTTATGGTAGTGGTGGTGGGTTTTCAGAACTCCTTAAAGCACCTCTTCTTGCCTTGCAAGAGTGTCCTTGATTTTCCACTGCTCCAAGTCAAGGTGGATGTCTACCCACACAAGAATAACCGTTAGGGATACTCAGAAATCTGAGGTCTTTCTCTCTGTTCTTGCTTGTACAGGTGACACGATGCAGCCAAGGAAGAAGAGGAAGTGATTACATGCCATTTTCCAAGAACTAAGGAGGAAGAAAACAGGAATTTTTTTCATTATTTTTTCTGGTGGGGGAAGGTGGTGGAGCAACGTAGGAAGGTAGAAAGCACAAGGAATGATATTTAAATTTAATAAGAGAGTTATGAAAGTAGCTTAATTTGAGCACTCTTGGTGTTTTGAAAGGTTTACTGGATATGCCAAAAATGACTCCCGCTGTCTCAGAATTTGTTACCTTCGTCTGACATCTGTGGAGGATGATCTGTGGTCAAAATCTGGCCAAAGGCCAAAGAAACTCATAAACTAGGTGTTACAGAATGTTTAGAGAGAGAGAGGAACTCAGGATCATCCAGACTCTTCACTTTACAGACGAGGATGCTGAGGACCTGGCTGAGAAGTTACCTACGTGAAGCCAAAGAGTTAGTGTCAGAACCGAGGCCATAGCTTGTGTCTCCCAGATCTTCTCACTCCCAGTCCTGTGCCATTTTTTAATAACCCTAACTTCCCGAAAAACAAGCATTTTTGTAGGCTAGTTATTTTCATGGATTGTTCATCTATTTTTTTTTTCCTTGATCTAAATAGAAATATAGGGAGATGGCTGCTACTAAGTTGTCTGTCTACCTGGTATGATAGCAAATTATTTGGGACAATGAAAAAATAAGTTACAAAAGGTATTGGGAAACCTATCCCTCTTGTGAGCAGGCATTTGGGGCAGGTGTAAACATCGAACATAGTGACAGTGTCAAAATCTCTTCCATTTGAATATTGATTAATTCATCAAATAAATGTTGTACCTTTTCTTGGGGAATAATCTGCACGGGAAGTGATGTGGTTGTGAGGCCTGCTGAGATGGCCTTGATACAAAGCACTTTGCTGAGCTAGTTTGTGGTTTAGCAAAGCTGACTGTCAGGTGATCAACAAGCACATTCGTGAACCCTGCTTTGATTTTTCTAGTGGATTTTTCCAGGTCTTTATTTACAGGCACATTTTGTAAAGAACACAATGACAAACGTCTAGTGGTGGGTAAATGTGTTCGAGTCCATTGGTGTGTCATCAGGTGCATGCAGGTTGGGGTGTGGACATTGGAGTAAATTGTACTTGGGCTTCCCAACCTAACATGATAACAGGAGAAATTTGGTTAAAATGAACACCAAGAGCAATCTCAAAGAGCTAGAGAAGAGGGCAGAATATTCCAATAGGGCAGGTGGTCCAAGGGAAGACTAGTACAGACACCAAGAAACTTGCTCTATCCCTGCTCCTTTTCTCCTGCTATATAAACATGAGCCTGAGTCTTTTTGGCTTGAGCTGGGAGCACCACTTCTTTCCTATACCTGCTGCCTCTTGACTGCTCTTAGCAGGAACCTGGGAGCAGTTGTCACAGTGGAAATTCCCCAAATGTGAAGCCCGCAGGGGGCCACCCAAATTTTCCACACCCCAAAGATGACTTGGGCTGCCTACTTCTCAGATTCATAGTAAGCTCCTGGCTGGGATGAGCCTGCAGATTTCTATTTGTGGCTTCACTGTCCCTGGGACCAAATTAAACCCTGATTGCTGCCTGACTGGCCACTGTGCAATATCTATTCCAACACCAGAAATACCTCAGAACCACTTCCCATAGTGCTTCCTTGGTGCACTATGGAAAGAGCTGTAATGAACACCAATTAAACATTCATTAAAAGGTATACGGTATTTGCTGCCTACATAAGGCTGGGTTAGGCCCTTAGTGGTTACAAAAGAGCAACGATACAAACCAAGTGATGAGAAAACCAGCAATAATATTTTTATAGTGTCATGTAATTTACAACCACTCTTACCTCCATGATCTCATTTTATCTTCACAAAAGTCTGGTAAGTAGAAAATGTATTGTGTCCTCATTTGATAAATGAGTGAACTGAGTTTCTGATATTGATGTGCTGGTAAATGTTTAAAAATCAACTGTCTGAAAGAAAGACAATATTAAGGCCTTGATTTATAGTGTTTACCCATTTCCATGGTATAAACACTCCACCACGGCTTTCTTCAAGTGACCAACATGCCGCTGAATGTGGAGTTGGGGAGAGCTATACACAAGCACTTGGTCCTCACGAGCCTGCACTAGCTGGCTCCCGCATCCTGCTGCATTCAGAGGAGGGAAATGACTGGTCCAAGGTCACACGGGTGGTTGATTCCCAAGCCCACTTTCTTTCCTCTTTATTGCAGAGCAAAGCAGTAAGTGATTATCTGAAAGCCATTATTTAAAAAAGCAAAAATGTGTGCACATCTGCAAGGCTGAACAAAATAAGGTGATCAGGGGATCCCAACTTGGCAGAAACTCTCCCCATACAGGCAGGGGGAGGAGTGACACCACCACCTCATGGACCGGTCCATACCCGTGCCTATGTTCTAGAGGCACTATCTCACATGTGACACCCATTTAGAATTTGGGGAGAAGAATTAACTTGTTTGCCTGAACAATTCATCAGCCCCATCTTCTCCCCCAAAAGAGTCATACATTTCTCAAGCTATTTTCAGCTCCTCTGCACCTACTCATTTGCAATACTTGTCATAACAGGAAGTCCGTTTCATACACTGTAATCCCCAAACACGTTGCGCCTGCACGTGGAGAGAGAGAGGGGGCTGAGGGAGGAGTGATGAGGCCGAGACTCCCAGAAGCCCACCTGGTTGAGCACTGAACCCATCCCAGTGTGGGCATCCCTCCTCCCAGACCCAGGTGTCAGAAACCAGAGTCCACATCCAGACATTGTTTTCCTTCCTCATGCAGTTGGCGGTTCCTTTTTTTTTTTTTTTTTATAAAACATTTGAGTAGGCAGCAAAGCCAGTCAGAATTATTTATTTATAGCTGTGGATTTTCAATGCTGTATAAATTAGAAATCATTGCTGAATGAGGCCTGCGCCCACTCACACACGCAAGGCCGCTATCTGTGAGTCCTTTTACACAGTTTGACTGTACACAGTCTAAAATGGGTGAAAATGACATGCTCCAAGTCAAATGACGGAGTCACAGCTAAACTGCAAAGCAGAAAACCAGCAATTATTTTTCCTCAGCACAATATGGGGAGTACGACAGGTGCAATTATCCAATATTATTTAACAGCACTGGTTTGTGGTGTAGGGAGAAAATAAAGGTTTCTGTGTCTTGGAGAGGAGAAAAAGAGAAAGAACCTGCCTCTCAGCTCCTGTTTCTGTGGATTAAGCTGTGTTATGTAAATTGAAACTGGCCAGGATTCCAAAAAGGGAAGGGAGAACCACCTGGCTCCCTCGCTCTTCCTCCCTGGAAGCTGGCAACCTGCGTCATCAGGGACTTCTGAGAAAACGGCTCTGGCCTTAGGGACTCTGAACATCCTCCTTTGAGGCAGTGGCTTCAGGTAAGACTGTGGGGAAGGCCGGGTTTGCTGAGCTCCTGTCCCTTAGAGGGAAACCCTCTCCTGTGTTGGTTCTCTCTCCCTCAGCTGAATGAAGACGAGGTAAAAGAGAAGGTGGCCCACAAGGAATGATTTTAATTCCCTTAGTCAGGTCTCCCCCTTTTGCCCTCCAGCATATTTTTATTTCTATTCCCAAGCCTTTCCTTAAACTGGTCACTCTACCTAGAAAGACCTCTCTTGTTCCAGCTACTATCAAATAAACAAGTTGTCCTCCATGGCTTCAGACCTTTCTGGAGTGCCACTTCCCAACTCTCCTAGAAAGTTTTCTCTTACCCCTCCAGGGCATTGGGCTTGTTCCCTTCTCTAAACTCCCATAGCCCGCCACATAAGTCCCTCACAGCATTCCATCACTCTCTTCTTCATCTATCCTCTTGCCTTCTGTTTCCATAAAGTAAGGAATGCTGGAAAGAACAGAAGCTTCAGAACCAGACCAGATCTGAATGCAAATCCTGACTGAATTCAAAGCACTCACTATTTATATAGAACCTGGGGAAAATTGTTTACTTTCTGAACCTTGGTTCTTAAAGTCATATGATAGTACCTACCATGATTAAATAAGATTATTTCAAGTGGTGGATGTAAGTGCTTGGCATCCAAGATTCCCCATGCCATCCTGCTTGATTGCAAACTCCTTGAGGCCAGAGCTCATGCCTATTGTCTGTATCCCCTCCAAGGCCTAATTCCACACCATTAGCAAGTACTGAAAATACTTACAGACTGACTTGAGGATTACTGACAGCTTCTTAATCATATAGGCTTCATCACCAAATAGCATCCTCCCCTCCCAGGAGCTGAGATTCCCAACATTAGACTTACTGTTTCATTTAAGGTACTCTCTTCATGTTAAATCTCAGAATCCTATAAAAAATAATGATCAAATTATAGTTTCATGTGACCTGGCAGGGGAAAGCACACTGATAGAATAGGACACAGGACAAATTTTCATGAAAAGGAAAGGAGATGAGGGATGGCCTGAAAAATAAAGATTGCAGGCAGGGGAGCTCCAGATTGGACGACTGGGTGGCCCTGGTTACCCCAAGGAGAGTTTGTGGGATACCCCAAGTCAGGGAGATTCATCTTTAAAAGAGAAGTGGGCGAGATGGTAGCACTGAAGACAAATCTCGTTTACATCAGAATTTATTTTTCTTTAGGTGCCTGCTTACTCCTTCCTTACAGATAGTATCTGCTATAATTAAGGCCTGATCTAATCTGACTCTTACTTCGTCATAACCAAGACTTCTTCAGCCACTCCCATAATGGGATTCTTCAGTGACCTTGGAAAGGGTCTCTGCTCTTACCGACACCTCAAATATCTTGCTAATGTTCAAAAACATCCTTCACCAGGCATAAAGCCTTCCATCTTACACGGAGACAAATTTAATGTGTAAATACTTATGAGGTGACCTATTGACTTACACTCATTCATGTTCAATTATCAGTGAAGGATAGTTGATGATTTGAAAGAAAGTTTTAATATGGGAGGAGGCATGCTTGGCACAGTGAAAATGAGGATATTGTGAGAAAAGGAACAAGTACAGAAGGGCCAGCTGCAGGCTCCGAGGACAAACTTTGCCTAGTTCACAATGTCTTACCATGTGAATTGCCAAGACATGACTAGGTATGTATCTTGGCTCTCCACTTCTCCCTGAGAGAGCTAAATCTATGGTTAGCATACTCCCGAAAAAGAGCTAGACAGTGATCTTGGCCACTGATTCTTGGCCAACAAAATTCTGCGTGTCTTTGGAAGAGTGGAAAGAGGAGGCATAGCTGTGACATGCCACTCTTTATGAATCCTGTCTTGATTGTCTGGCTGGCACTACAGGAATTTAAACTTGCCTTATGGCTAGGGAGAGAAGCTAGTGTTGGGTTGTCACTATTCTTAAGAAGAGATGAGACAGAGCAAAGAAAAAAATTTGGATTCCATTGGCTCTTGAAGAGTTTCAGCCAGGGTTGAACTTCCTCAAGATTCCTTCTTACCCAAACATCTTATCAACCAGTCCCAGAGATCCTGAAGTGTTGAAGAGAGACTGACATTAAGGGCATAGCGTGTGCTTCTTTGAGGGCAAGGAATATATCTTATTCACCACTGTATCCTCCACACAGAGCACAGTGCATAATATACAATCAACTTTAAATACGTATTTCATACTCAGATTTACATAACCTGCTCAATGTCTATGGTGGTATTGGAATTCAAACCTAGACCTATTCAACCCAAGTGCCCCAGTAGTTTCCACTCTACCAATGGCTT